GGTGAAGGTCGGAAAAACGTCGGAAGAGCATGCGGCGGCGGAAGAGTTTGGGACCCTGATCAGTTTCAAGTTTGCCTCACCTGGCCAACCGGCGGGTTTAGAGAAGTCGGACAGGTCGTGGGGGTTAGGAAATATGTGCTACGCAAAGATTCATGGGTGTAGCTTCAAGAGGGATAACCTTCCAAGCGATTCAGGCCTCTACAGCACTTGCAACGTCTCCGGCCCAATCCTGTGTTTATACTTGCAAGTAGTACATTCTGCTTTCATGCTGGGATGGCCACACAGTCCTGGTCCGCTCTACCGAGGCAAGCTGGGACAGCTGCAGTTTCACAGCGTTGACTAACCCCAAATCCCATACCCTAGACCCCAATATCTTGGGCGCAACATGGCCCAAGAGCTGCGGGACCGAAGGCTCGAGCTGCACAACGACATAACCAATCCCTGCCATCTGATGCAACGCAAATCCCCGCAACTGCCGAAGGCTAAAGGCAGTCTACTAATTATACTCCCCGGCGACCACCATTTAGGCGGCATTATTTGAACCCAAAACCGTGCCGTGCAGTCAGTGAAAAGACGCTATGACAAAAATGTTACGTTCACCAGGGGTATGCCAAGAGTTCTTTTGAGTTATTCTAGTGCCAAATCAGGGCCTATGTGAGAGTCTGCTTGCCGGCTACTTTGGTGACGGTCACAAGCCATGAGTAGCTGCTCGTATCAGCTCCAGAGTTTTATGTCAGTCATGCCGTCTGTTGGATGTCAACTTGGAGTCCTCATCTGTTTAGCCTCTCACAGTGGACCCTGAACACCAAGACATTGGAAACCTAAAGTTGAATACATTCCGTCTGCATACATGCGGGTACATATATCTGTGTGTATATGCGCATGTATACAGATATGTATGTATGGATGGATGTATGCATGTATGTATGTACGTGCATGTATCTCTCCACATGCCCTTGTATGACCTTATTAGCGCAAAGCTGCTCAATCCTACCCGCTGATCCACCCTAACCTGTGTAAACCGCGTCCTTGCTGCAATGAGCACGTAAATCCCGGCATTTTGAGAAGGAGAATGCTATGAAGTCCTTCCATGGTTCTTGCTTTGCTGTGTGCTTCTGGACTAAGTGTTGCCACCTGCCGAAATGCATAGGAGATTTTCTCGCACATAGAAGGATTGTGTGGCGGCACGTGTGCTGGTACGATTTTGTTGTTTTCAACGGAATGCCATGGATAGACATCTTCCTCGTAGTAAAGTCCAAATGGTTCTGTAAGACAAGTTGCAGTTGCTCCTAGCTCATGTGAGCAGCAGATGCGAGGACCGCCCGCAGGTCGAAGTTCTTCCGTTGATTTCAAATTCCCGGACTTCACGCTCTTCTGGTCATAGTCCTCAAAGAAGCTTTATGTTCTCAACATCAAGGGTACCTGCTATGATCGGAGCCCTATGTCATCTTGGGCTGCTAAGATGCACCACCGCTACCACCAGCACCTACAGAAACCCGCTACAGGTTGACCCCAGATCAGGCTCATCTGGATAAGGTTCTTATCATTATTGGCGGGTAAGTATATACCCTGTTGGCTTAGTTGGGTCAACGTATATTTTTGTGCCCATTTGGAAGCACTGTAAATGAGAGCATGGCTCATTCGAGGATAGTGCGGGTTTGGGTGTGGTGTATGTTTGGCATCTATTTCGGCTGCTGATGTACCCTGATGCTTATAGAATCGCCAATGCAGCATGCAAGATGAATGGTCGGGTTGTTTGTTAGGTGGCTCACTTACATGTATGCGTTACACGTCGAGCTCTTGATGAGGACATGCAGGAATGGAAGCAGGACATAAAAGTAAAAAGAGAAGGACACCACTAACCTCCCTAGGCGTGTGCAGTCCAGGAAGGCTGCCAGGTTCCAAACCCTTGGCTTTTTCTCTCAAGGGTTGGTCTTTTGAACATGCAAGCTATGTGTGGTTGGATCATTACACCAGACGTACATCACGGTTGAAGCGAGGATTTTCAATATGAAATCATTTTGTAACAGGATTCCTGTAGGTTACTCGTGGACATTGCATGAAATGGGCATAGGACAGGATCCTTGTTTTCACAAGTGCCACTAGCGGATTACATGTGACATCATCCTGTAGATGCTGGGAATTGTAAGCCTTGGTTTGAGGTTGCAAACTTGTTACAACCACAGAGTGGGCAATGCACACCTGCTCTTCGCAAGGCCAAGCTTTGTATTAATGCACGCAAGAAACGCAGGCTGAATAGCTGGTGGGACTATCTGGAGGTGATGTTTGTATTGCTTCATGTTTGTCAGATGGTGCTCGGTGCTGATGTTACCTACAGGGGCAGGTTTTTCTTGCAGGTTCAGGCGCTCGGAGTGTGAAATTCAGAGTTCAGGGGTAGAAGCGTTCTTTGTAGCGGTAGACGAGACTACTTCCCCACTTTGCCTCTCCACTCATAATCGAATAGTGTATGCGAACCACCAAACACCGCCCCTTGCGATTCCTTGTAGCAGCTTCCACATGCAAGTCCCACCAGCAGAACATGCACCGCCAATGCACCTCATGATTATGGTTCCTAGGATCTGAAAGGGCTGCGGACAGCACGCCACCAATGGCCACTTCCTGAAGTTGTGCCAGCTCCACTGTTATCAACCAATAACCACCCTGTGGAGCACTTGTTCATTCCATGTGCGGTACAGCTCAAGACTTGCATAGGAATTGGGGAAAGGCGGGTCTCCATGGGCTGTGAATTCAGACCTTGCCTCTTACATACTTGAAGCAGGATGAAAATACTGTTTTCCTCTGGCCTAGGTATCTGGAAACGCTGCTCATCTTGAGGGTGGTGTAGATGCCTGCAACAAAATCCAGATAGCGGCGCGGAGCTTTCTGGCTGAGTCAGATGAGATGGCCATGTGGAATGCTGTCCTGCCTCTAAGATAAATTCCTTACTGCTGTGAGGCCGCGCATTTCATTCATGCGGAAAACAGGCAGGGCAGTTTGCCAGACTCGGAATCGTCATGTGAGCACCTTGGGGGTAAGCACCGCACGTTCCATTCTGGGCCAGTCTGCTGGTTAAAGCCAAAGAAAAGAAGTAAAACCGCCATTACAGAATGTTGTAGAGCGAATACCCTGCAGAGCAGAGTTTAGACTTGATAAACTTGGGCCCAAGCCGAAGCTAATTGGACTTTGCGTTTTCGGCGTTTTGCACGCCCACAAGACAGCATGTTGAATGCCTATTGTTGTGTGCCAGTTGCAGGGTGTCAGGGCTTAAGACTTCAGGATGGGTTTCAGGGTACAAGACTTAGGGGAGCCTCCCAACAAACATGCAATAAACTGTCAATACCTTTTCAAAGCAGTAGTCTTTACAGAATTCTTTTTTGGGGGAAGTGCAGCGGTCAGGCAACGAATTGACAGTTGAGGATTTATGGGAGATGAGCTGATGAGGAGTGTTTTGTAGAAGGAGGAAGGAGCGTCAGCACGCGGCATCTCAATGTTGGGCCCTTGGACACCGTTTTTCCTGGGGTACAATGACTTTCGATCGTTTTGTGTTTTGTTGGATTCCCTAAACTTAGGCCTGCAATCCTGACAGTTCTACTCCTACATACCTTTTTACGAGCATGGTGGCAATCTTGCACGAGTTAGGATCCCAAACATTCCACAAGACTGTCCTTCATTACGTGTATAAGGTGGTGCAAGGCTTCCGCCTTGCGCAGCATCCTACTTTAGAAGCTAGGGTTTCATGGTGCACTGTCGCCGCAGGATGGTCCTGATGTTTTTGAGCCGCAAGGCCCTTAGAAAATGGGCCTCGACTCGCAGAGTACAACCCCCCCCTGCGCAGCTGTTCCCTAAAGCAACTTGAGCTGGATTTACTGTTGCTATGTTTGCTGTTAAGCTCATCTCCACCTACCGAGCACTGACGATCGCTCTGTGGAACACGGGCAAGTACGCGCACGAGACGATGTACCAATTGACGCTGGAGATATGGACTTGACAACACACCCATTGGTGCATGCTGCTCTGAGGGCAAATATGGGTTCAGGTGAGAAGTGCTTTGACTTGAGAGAGTCAGATTTGCAAAATAGACTGGAGCTTAAGGATCCTTACGTAGCTTGAGGGGAAGCATTTTTACTTGGCCTGATAGCCGCAAGAGCACTGCTCACGTGTCCTTCCCGTGCTGGGCCGAGAACAACGTTGAGGCTGGCCTGCTTTAAGCAATAATTATGGGGATGCTCCGTAGTTTCATCAACTTCAAGAAGCGGTTATCCAGAGGCACGGGAGGGTTCCATGGGAAATGTTATGGCGTGCCAGCCTGGTGGTTTCTGATTTGGAGTTCAGTGTTTGCAGCCGATCATTTTAGCCACAAGGTGTTACTTAAAACAAGCTGGCATGAGCTGCAACACAGGGACCCATACTGGACGGGGCTCCTGAGCACAAGGCTGGGGAAAGCAGAAGGAGAGATCCCGATGCCCAGAGTGAAGACCAGGATAAGCAAGGGCAAGGGATCCTGTAGTCACTCTAGTAGATTATAGTATATTGTAGTAAATTAGTATATATTATAGTAGATTATAGCAGATTATAGTAGGTTATAGTATATTCTACGAAAAAGGTGCTTTTGATGGCTCCAGGTGGTGTGGCTTTGGTGCTGCATTCAGAATCGCGCCGACCCTTCCCCAAATCCTTGGTTGTTGAAAGTTCGAGGTGCGAAACTAAGCAAGAAGACAGAACCAACCCATGCTGCAACAGTCAGGTTGCATCTCTGTTTCCAGTACACTTGTGTACCTATAGGCAACAATGCCCAAGAAGCTTTCTCAAAAGGTCAACGCAGGTTTGACAGGACAGTACGAAGCACCAGGGAGGATCTGCTACTACAAATTTCTTCGTTGCATAGCCGGCGCTCACTTTCCGAAGAGGGTTCTGCAATCTGCAGCATCGTGGCCCAAGTTAGCTGCAGTAGACGAGCTCGCAAAACGCGAGTTGGCAGCTAGCTAGGCAGCAGTGGAAGCATGGCCCTGGAACAAAGCTTGAAAGAAATCCTCGGCATGAAGTCCGGGGCTCCCAAAGACTCTGGGATGTGCTTATATGGGGGTTGCCATGAAGTTGATATAACAGGTGTCGCTGTATTTGGGTTGCGATATATCCCTGATCCTTGAAATAGCGTTTCCTATTTGGCAGCTCGTACTTGACCCCAAAGCGGCAAAGCTTTTTCGGAGTTTTGCAAGGGTGAGGTCCTTACTTGTGTGCCAGCACGTCAGGACTCAGGATATACTGCTGATCGCCTTAGAGTTTTGAAAGCTACCTTACACATGTGTTGCACAGTTGGCTCCTTTGTTTTTACGCTTAGCATTCAGCCATGCAGTTTGTTTGAGACGCAACATCGCAAGTTGTGCTTCCGACATAGCTTCAGAGACATGCCCAGGACTTCGAAGCCTGGCAATCCCTAGCCAAACCTCCGGAGATCTATGACCCCCCGCAGAGAGCAAGATTTTGCTTGACAAGGTTCGTCTATTGTGCCTTTGCAGATTACCGCTTTGTTTGTACCAGGCGTCTGCAGCTTGAATAAGTGCATGGGTTTTACAGAGAGGGCTACGAAGAACCTTTCTGCAACTTAGATGAACGTTGACCTAGATAGGATCTTGCGCATTTACAGGTACCCTTTGGACCCAGGAAACGTTCCGAAGCGACAGGATTCCTGAGAGAGAGTGGCAGAGGATGTTGCAGGATATTCCTCGCAAGCCCACTTTGTGGTTTCAGAGTGTCAATATTTGCACCTAGCGGTGAGTCGACGGTATGCTGATTTGGCTGTCTAGCTTCGTTCCCGAGGGCGGGTGCTTCTCAGGGGGCTCTGTGGGAAGTTCCCAGGGGTTCCTGCGATGTTTGAGGGTGTTTTTGGCAGGTTCTGGGGGTTCCGGTGCATTACCAACAGTTCACTTCCCAGGGTTCTCGGGGGATTCCTCAAGAGCCCCTCACCCAAAATCTAAGAGCTGGCACCTAGCTAAGTTCTTAACACTATCAGTTCTAGAGTTCCTGGAAACATCGCGCAACGATAGGGACTGCTTATAAAAGAAGCATTTCCGACTTTTTGGACACCCCATCTAGGCACCAGAAATCTGACGGTGATTATCTCTGGACGTTTTCCGTTTGACGTAAAACTTGCAGCCTCATAGCTCCCTTTCTGGATCACCTGAAGGGCTCGACTGCGTGCAGGGGTAGGGGGGGATGGCATGGACAAGCACATGGATTTGGCCAGTCGTCAATACCTATTGCATCAGGACCCAGGTAGTAATGTAGGATCTCCAACGTCATCGCAGAGAAAGGAAGAGGTATTCATAAGATATCGGAGGCCTACGTGAGCCATGTCCATTTCCAGCTAAGGTGCTGGCAAGTCCTCGCTTTGCTGCTTGATTCCCCCGGCCCGCCTGTGCTTGGCCCCATGCTGCCAGAAACTTGAGAGTGCTTAACTAGGGTTGAGGTTGAGACTGAACGCCCGGTAATACTCGATTCCGGGGTTCGAATAAGGGTCTAGGTAAGCAGTTTGGTTTGGTTGTGTGGAATGGGTAGGTCAGGAGGTGCATTCCTTAAACTCTCATCTCTCATTTTATATACTTAGGAACATGAGGGACCGCATGTTGGGAGGGTAAGTTTCTGCCCTTCCCTCTATAACCCCGAAGTGAGCACTGCACATCCTTTCAAGAGACCCCATCATGTTTCAACAGCTTCTTCGGGCGGCTTCCCAACCTCATAGTCCCAAAATCTCCAGGATCCCTGAAGCCCGAAGGCTCCTAAAGCAGCGAAGCCAAGGAACAGGTTCGCAGACATCACTCAGTCTGATGTGTGGTTGGAGCAAATGCTTCAAGTGCCAAGCCATCAGAACACCCCGCATGCGCTGAAAGGCTAGATTGGGAGCTGTGGGTTGAGGAGTTCTCGGGAGGCTGTCTATCCTACCTCTAACTAAAAGCCTGTTCAGGTACAGATGCAGCATGGGAGCTGTAATCCAGTAATTTGTTAGGAGAAATCTTCATCAGTTACGGAATGGAATAGAGCCCCACGCCACAAAATTGATGGAAATAGTCAGGCGTATCCACAGAATGAAAGAAACATCGCACGAGGAAGCCGTAAGTCAGCCCGAAGTCAGACCAGAATAGATCCAAAGAATGAACCACCATTCTCCAGAGATCAGTGGCGTTCCCTGGTTTGGGGGCTCCGTGGCCGGATACCTAAAAACGTTTTTTTCGTAACTGTTGCTAATGTTGTGTTTGAACAGGCTTGTCCCAACCGGACGACCCCTGTAGATGACTGCTATCAATCGTTGTCCGCTCACCTGGCTTAAGATTGCCCTCCTTGTGAAAAGACTTGTGTCAACAAAGCCGCGGAGACCCAAAGTGGAACGCCGCCAAAACTAAAAGGCTGAATATCATTCCGGAAATTTCATGCGAATGACAGCGTGAAGTGCTTATTTGGAGGCGCATGGTGGCTGCAAGAGAACATCGCCGGAGAAGGCTTCTTTTGCCGGTTGAGGGATGTTGCGGTGACAAGCAGTATAGAACTGAGGCTTGCGAGAACGAAGTCTTAGTTCTTGTGTTTAAAAGTCAATGCTTCAGGAAACGTGCTGATAAGTTACCTGTTGCAGGGCCCCCTTTTTATTCAGCTCAACTGCTTGCCAACGATTCCATGAAGCTCGCAACAATGATACATGATAGGGTCCAGATTTAACAATAAACCACCAACAAGAGCGAAGTGAATAGTGCAGCAAAAGGGGAGGCCTCATGTGCCTCTATTCTGAATCGGCATCGGTACAGTCACCTTCTTTTCTATATGAGGCAAGCCCGTTGCTGGAGAGAGGGAGTTGCAGAGGTATTTTGACTTTTCACGATGCCGAGTGGGTCAGTGAAGCAACCGGAATGCCGCTCGGACCTCTTCATGGTCGGGATGATCAGAAGGAATCTCCATCAAAAAGACTTCGGCGTTATTCACGCCTGACTGGGGTCATTCAGGCTGTTGGAGGGTTTGCTTCATTGAGAAGAAGCATACCAGGTCAAAAGGATTCGATTGGACACAAAGGAAGTATCAGAAATGTAGGCCCCTCCCGTAATAAAACATCCCACCGCCCATTATTGAATCTTGCCTATAAGGGGAGGAATGGTGTAAGAGAGCGGCACACCCTCCTAGGAAAGCGTTGCAGTAGGAGAATGAATTACGAAACCTGAGGCTTGAAGCATTTGGGCCTCAGCCGGGGTCGCTGAAATCTCAGGTGGTCATTGGGTTACGGGTTAATGGCCTCTGTAAGCTATCCGGTAGCCAGACAGTTCTCGAATCGATGGCTCTAACCTGAAGCGTACAACCTCAACCCTATGATTGTTCAGACCTTCAGCCAAAGGCCCCTCCCACTTCATGGAGATCATGGGTGAGCAAATTCTTGCTCTGCTTGCGATGCGAGTTTTGCCAGACTGTGATTACGAACATGTCCACCTTGAGTGAAGGAAAAGATTGCAGGAATACTCTAGAAATATTGTGGTATCGTAAAGCCTTTCGAAAAACCTATTTGTTTTTACTGTCGTGGGCCTGGCCGTTCTTCACCTTCAGCCCCTTGCAGCTGAAGAAGAGCTCCAAGTATGACCCTGCCTAAGTCCTACATTCTTGGCATGCTCAAAGATCAGCCCTTGACAGCCTGCATCCACGCATCCGGAAAGATGAACTTTTCAAATTGTTTTTCAATTCCGCTCAGGAAGAGCTCGAAAGTTAATTGGACCATCGATGCTTGGAACCTCTGGGGCGTGATCTTGACCTGCAACGGGTACTGGACAGGCGGAGGCCATGTGAGCTTGGGGGTTCTTGAATTCAAGCCTGCTGCAACGGGAATTCCGGCTTAAGTTTTCCCCTCCAATTCTCTCAGACTTGCATCTATCTAAGCTCTTCGTGTTATGTTAATGTTGGAGTAGCATAGCATAGCAGTTTGGCAATCATTGTGCAGATATTTGTGCTGTAAACTGCGCTGACTTAACATGGCACCCACCTTTGTAGCCTCCTGTCATTGCACCCTGCCCGTATGTAGGGCTTGCACGTCTTTACGGAGGAGTAGGTTTTTGGTGGTTGAAGTTAAGCCTGAGGAAGTCTGTTCAGGAACCCATCAATACCGAGGCCGCGAAGGGGGGCAACCTTAAGAGCTTTGCCATCCTTTTATTTTACGGATAAGGCAGTGGGGATATGAGCAGGATGGGCTATCCGGTTACGATCTTGGATCTAATTGCAAGGCATTAAAAACCTGTGAAGGCCATCTTTTGGAAATGTCGCCCGACGGCAAGTGGATCCACATTACCTTCGGAGACTTGGCTCTGCTTCTGGAATAGTGGCCCTCCACCAACCACAAGGACTACGCATTGTAGGAATACTACACCAGACATGTTCAGGGCGACATTGCCAAGGATGCCCACAAGGTTCCCGCAGTAAAGCTCGCGAAACGTGTGCTTCATCTTTGTAAAGCCATCCAGCCTCAAATGAATTCTGATTTGGCTGAGGACCGGGCAAGGCAGCACATTGGATCTACGTGATTCAGCCTGGCGATGTCTTCAAGACGCCAGAAGGTGAAGTTCTAGATGTGACCCCTGGGGAGGACATGGTGCGACAGGGTAAAGGGAAGGATTATCAAAAGATGGCAGGCCGGTAGGAGGTCTTGTCCCGGAAGTATACCGTATTCTTTGGAGATTCTCCCTTTGCCTCGTGGCTGTGCGAAGGACATGATGCGGATTTCCCAGGACAGCCTGGATGCTAGGCTGCGGCTTCCTCTTTTCTCCAGGTGAAGTTAATTGTGCACTTTTTCCGTTCAGTCGAATTCTTGACTTGGAGTGTGAAGTGGGCCTTGGCTTCACGAGACCTCTTAGGACACCAGTTCCAAAATCACGTTTCAGTACCTGGTGCGGCGTGTCGCTTACCTCGACGATACCGGATCATCTTTCAGAAAAATTTTGTTTGATAAAACACTAAGTCCTCATGAGAAGGTATAAGCTTGAAAATACCAAGGAATCAACTGTTGAGAGGAGTTTGAAGTTGAGCCCCAAGCATTAGTTACTTAGGATAGCGGCAAGCTTGTGAAGACGCCCAACTATGACAAGCTGATGAAGGTCGCCAAGAAGGGTTCTCAGCCCCTGGGTGGATTTAGGCTTCAGGGCTCAGGGTTCAGGAGAGCACGCGTCAGTTTGGCAAAGCCAACTGGGACCCGGAAGCAAAATCTAGTTTGGCGTCAGGGTTTGGGGACCTTTGCTCTCGCAATGCTGGATAATATTGTTCATGGAGAAAAGTTCTGCATTCCCATCAACATCGGTACTGCGAGAATCCCGGCGGAGTTTGTTTCACCAATCATTCCAGAAAGATGGTTATGCCTCCTTGAGCCCTATGCCCTCAACTGTAAGCTCCCGTGCGCCCACTACGTCCTATACCTAAACTCGCTAGACCCCTTTTACTTACCCAACTCGCTACACACTTACCTGCATGATCGCTAGACCTTCTACCCGGAACTTGCAGATCCCCAAAAGCTATAACATACTTCTCCACAAGACCTGTGAGGGAAAAGTCGATGGAGGAATTCCTGCATCACCCAGGGTCCCTGAAAAACTGCAAGTTGAAGCATCTAAGTTTGGCATGGTGCGAGACTTTTCCTTCAGCCTGAAAGCGCTTTCAGCCCTAGCCCTCGTGTTGGGCTTATGGTTACCCCCAACCCCAAATCCTTAGACCTGGACCAATCCCAGGTTCTGTTGCTTTGATTGCGGTGACGCCAAACTCGATGCAATCCAAAGGACGCAGAACTATAGGGTCGCCACGCCACCAGCGCAGGTGGGTGTTTTGCGGTTGGCCGGGGTAGAAATTTACAGATCGGAAGTTTGGAGCTAAGGGGTTGAGAGTCTGAGGTTTGCAGGTTAAAGGCATTAATGCAAGGAGTCTGTGCGGAGGCCCTTTTCCAGTTTTCTGCAGGCCACTGTCGCGTTGCACTTTAGCTGTAAACCTTGAGAGATACCTTTTTTGACAGAACTCCCTTTTGCAGGAGAAGTCCCCAACTAGTTCATTCAAAGGCTCAGCAAGACATGGTACAGGCTTTGGATGGGGACTCCCACAGAGGGGTTGCAATTTCAGAAGCCCTCAGGTGACTATGAGTGAAAGTGTGTAAAGGTCTTCAAGAGCAGCCTGAGCCACTTCTAGCAACTTGTTGCCAGTTGCAGAAAACTAGAGGTTTGGGGAAGTTTTGTGTTATACCTTCAATGGCAGTTTAAATTTCAGAAAAAAGCGAAGAGGGAAAGACCAAGTAAGGATGCGGCGTCTCATCATCAACGCCGGGGACCTGCAGACACTTTTTGAAAGCCTGCTGCTGAAAAGCGCATCCACAAGAGCACTGGGGATTTCTCAAGTTATAGACCCCAATGTCGAATCCTTCTAGGAAGCACTATCTGAACAAATGGGTGTGCAGGGGGCCTTCATCTTGAGAAATACCCAGCTCAAGTCTCATTCCCTACTCCCACGCACTGGCTGTGAGGCCTGAGCCAGCATACAATATAAACCCTCAATGGAAAACACCTTTGATTCGGGTTTGGGCAGAAGGGTTTGAGCCTGGGCACCCTAAGATCAGCTAAATCCGGAATTCAATAAAAGCATCAGGAACAAAGCAGAAGAATTATGGGATCTTTATTACACGTAGCCTTAAGCCGCTACTCTCCACGCTCAATCCTGGATGCAAAGATGCGTTCGGGTTTGGTTGACCCAGATGAATGTCGAGAGGTTCCGGTTTGCAGATTGTGCTTAAGGAGACCTAGGCTGCGTACACAGCTGTTCGACACGCATATCCTTCTCCTTGTGCACATCTATATATATATCTACCAAGCTTGGTTATGTGGCGGCATATTTTTCTCAAAAAGAACATCCTACCCCTTGAGGGCTGTTCAAAATAATGAGGTCTCCATGATGGGGATTCTAGAATTTTGGTGATGTGCGGGGGACCACAATTTGGAGAAATGGACGCGCATTTGCAAGTCTTGTGCTTGGGAGTTTTGCGGGCTCTGGCGTTGGGTACGGCCTCCTGTGAGAATCAGTGGCCGGAATTTTCGTGGGAGTGTTTGTTTTGCTCTGGCAGTGACCACCGGAAACCTGGCAGGTCTCGTTCAGCCCTGGGTACGACTTGAGCAGTTGAGAGATTTTTGGCCGTGGGGCCAACAGGACTAGTCCATATTCGGAAGCATGTACAGGGACTCGGATCTTCATAAACTCTTACCTGGGATCCAGGCATGCAGACATCTGCCTCATGCACAAACTATGGCACAATGTGAAAGCAACCCAGTGTTGAAAAATCTGGATAGCACAGTGAACTGACCATGGCTATACAGGACGGGGGTCTCAAAAGATATAGTTCTTGTGCTTCACAGCACACATATGAAATCCTGTCTGTTGTCATTTTAAACACTTGCACCCGGAACGTTTCGAAAGGGCCCTTGTGGAGCTTTGAGAGAAGGGTGCGTACCATCCCTGACAAGTTCAAGACAATCCATTGGCCCCCAAAGGGCTTAGCGTGCAGTATCCCTGCTCGGCAATTTTTCTGAGTGGTCCCCAAAATTGGATGGATCTCAATTGCAATCAGGACATACAGGACCCAGAAACAATTCGCCTACTGGTGATGCCCTGAACCCTGCATGACTTTAGTATCGTGATTCCAAGTCTTCGTGGTAGTCAGGTTCTTTCAGATCTTTTCAAACCTAAGACCTGAAGCTTTCAAACCCAAAAACCTGATCCTTAACGGTGAAGACTCCACCGTGCTGTATAAGCCGATGGCGCCTTCCATCCATCAGGATGAGAAAGGTGGCAATGATGAAAGTGTTGCTTTGCACGAGCCGAAAAAAGCAGATGCTTGAGCTTTAAAGGTGCTATGGTGTTGTCTTTTCATTTTGGGCATAGAAGGAGGACCCTAAGGTGCAACGAATACAACTTAGAGGCTAGGGTCTGAGCATGTGCCAGAGTGATGAGACATCTCTTTGCTTCATACATTACGTTTCAACAGATGTGTCACTGTATTGTTGCAATTTATTTTGCAATTGCTCCTGTATCTACAGGAGCAGCCAGCATCAGGCAGGACCACCTTCGTCAGCCCACAGGGTAAAGGGCCCCTGTGGGCGTCCCATCAAGTTGTTCCCCAGGACTCCACCTAGCTGATCAATGTGTTCTTGGTCCTATGCTGCTGTAATAGCCTGAAAAAGTTTAGAACTTTGATCATCCTTCTGTACTTGTAATCGTATACCGAACGTACATACGCTACTCGATTAGGCACCTGCATTACATAGTCTCGCTGAAGATGCCATGACCTATGTGGCGCTGATGAGCGGAAAGGCCGTGCAGGTCCCAGCTCATACAGAACGCCCCCTAAAGTATGTAATCTAGACAGCGGATCCGTGGTCACCTGGGGTGATTCATTTTGTGGTGGTGACAGCAGCATGGTTCAGGAACCGTTCCGGAACATCCAGCACATCCGGCTACTGGCTACGCATTTGCTGCCGTTCTGGGCAGTGGAGCTGTGGTCACCTCAAAGGTCCTTTTTGTGGTGGGGATAGCAGGATGGTCCAGGAGCGTCTCAAGAACGTGAAACACGTCCAGGCTACTCAACGTGCGCTGCTGTTCTGCAGAATGGGTCTGTGGTCACCTGGGGGCAATTCCAGTATGGTGGTGACAGCAGGTCAGTCCAGGAGCAGCTCAGGAAAGTTCGGCACATCCAGGCTCCTGCACGTACATTTGCTGCTATTCCGGAAAATGGATCTGTGGTCAGTTGGGGTGATCCGACATATGCTGGTGACAGCAGCTCTGTTTAGGAGCGGCCTCAGGATTGCGTAGCGCCTGCAGAATGTTAAGCACTTTGACCTCTCACAAGTCCTGGATCTTAAAATGCTAAAACACCCAGACCGCTTCCCGCCCATTCGTTCACCTTCGTTTTCGACTCGTGGTTCAGAACCTGTCGGTAGATCGTACGTGACCCAGTAAATATTTGAGATCTGAAGCCGAGCAGATTAAGCAACCAGACTGAAGACATGACGAGGACAAAACTGCCTGGTGCCTGGCGCTTGTTTTTCTTCAAGGTCTGTTATGGAATCGTTCAACCAAAGGGCCCTACTAATCAAATTCCAGAAGCCTGCATCAGGACGCTAACGGCTCAGACTGACGAACCCACCATGTCTTGTGTAGCAAGGGCTGCGGGACGATCATGAGAGCACGCTCCACTCTAGTATGTGCATGAAAACTGGGCCGGCCCTCTTGAGAACTGCGAAGCCAGAGGGTACTTCTGTTGAGGTACCCAGAAAATGCAGCTTCGAGAAACACAATGATGTCCATTCGTAGCATCCTTGACGCGGTGCACAAATACCTTGAAGGCATCTGAAATGTCATGTACGTAAGCGAACACAAGCGACCATTGCCAAAAGTGAAGCCCCAGATCATGAACAAGTGCGAATATGAACAACCAAATGAGCTTGGAGGCCGAGAGCTGCCCTGCCGGCTGATGCGTGTTGACCTCGTGTCGACCGAGGGCACCTGAGGTAGTAAATCTGAGCTTCAAGAGGTGAGACCCCGGTCCGTCCTTCCGCTAAAAACCAAACACCCAAATAGTCTCCATACATTTGGGATGCCAGATGAGACCTCAGCTTCAATGCTTGCATATGCTTGAGATGACTTCGTCAAGACGTGCCGAATGCGCGGCGAAATCGCGCAAGAGGCTGCCGTACCGCAGCTAGTTGCCGCGCAGAAATGTGTCAGGAGAATCCTGAAAAAAAGATGTCGAGCTAGAATTAGACCGATGCCTGTTTGCTGTTGCGCGAAAATGCAGGAAAGGAAGCTCCAGCCCAGCTTGGAACGTTCCTGTGGCATGTGGCTGTCCCAAGGTCCTAGCATCTGTGTGACAGAGCGCACGAATAGCCGCAACACTATCAGATTACGGTAGCAGACCAAGCAGTCTTATGCCAATTGTAGCCATCAAAGGCACAGTGCAAGAATTGCCGCTTTTTCAGTTGTACAAATGGGTAGCGAAACAGGTATCCATGTGGCCATGACCGCCAGCACGAAGTTGAACAGAATGAAGCCTATGTGGCATCGAGCTTCAGCAGCATCATGGTGTACACATGACTTATTGACTTCACGGCATAGCAAGAGCAAGCATCGTCCTGCAAAAGTCACCCTCCCATGCTACTCCACCCCAAAATTCAGGCCCAAAGCAGCTTGATTTCACCTAGACTTCATTTGCATGTTATTCAGGGCTGGGGTAGTACGAGAAGGGGTAGGAGACCCATCGCCTATCCACCATAGCCATGCTGAGATCTGGTGTTGTAAGAGCCTTAGGGGGGTGAGAGGGAAAGATTCCAAAGAATCAACTAAATCCTCAATAGCTCCTCAATAGCTCCACACAGCACCGTCGTGGAGCAACAACTCGACCAGGCGCGAAAAAGCCATCTGGTAAAGTCAAGGAGCTGGTATCCTCAAGTTGCTTGAACATTACATGATTCCCGCAGCAAGCAGCCCTCAAACCAACTTGCCGTAGCTGACGTTTGTGTCTGACGATTAGTTTGTACCCATGGCGATGCTGTCTCTTGCGAAGGCAGGCTTCATTCATCAAAGTTGCACTTGCAAGGGCCTGAAGTTTCGGTAACTTCGGCATTAGATTTTGGCTATTGAGGCTCAGGTTTGCAGGGTTTGGGTCCGTTCGGGCTCCAACGAAGATGGTTCAGGATGTCACGGTCTGGATGTTGCGTCCTTAGCCTCAAGGTTGTTTTCTCCGTGTCCATTTGATGCTTCGCCACAAAATGATGACCCGCATGCAATGCCACGGGGGGGGCAGCACGAATTTTTGCTTGTGGCTCCTCACAATCAACTGTTATGATCATCTGTATCATATGCATTCCGATGAAAGTAATTACTTTCCAGCGCCAGAAAAACCTTATTGAAGCATTAAGAACCTCAGTATGCACGCACACACGGAACGATGAGGAATTTCCCACACGTAAAACTAAGAATTGCATGCGGTTCCCTCTTGAGGGCTTTCTTGAGGACTTTGGTAGGGATTTGTAGTTTTCGCTGCCAAGTGCAAAAGGACTTGTTCCCAAGTCCACGTAATCCAAAACTACAACCGCCAAAATTCAGACCTCTAAACCTTTCAAAGTGAAGCGCCGCGGTATCGTCCCCAAATGATAGTGAAATCCCATGCTCCTCGGATCCCTTACAATGCTAATAGGCATTTCTTGCTGGCATAGAATCCGACCGTATACCGCAAAAAATCACCAAAAAAAAAAAAAAGAAAAAATCAAATGAACCCTACAAGGACGCAGACAAGACCTTAACCACAATTGGCTATTGTCGTCAAAAATCTTTCTAGCTCAAGAATTCCCAACCCAACCTCATATATCAAGCCCTCGATGGCCCCAAGAAAAGAGGATTGTCAAACCTGCACGCTGAATACCAAGGCAGAAACACAATAAGCTGCAAACTACAAATCCTAAACTCCAATCCCAAACGATCATTCACTGGCACCACGTTGCACGCCAGTATCATTCCGAGAGAACCCCCAAAAAAGTCCACGGAGCTGTCCTTTGTCCCCATCTCTCTAATCCTCTCTAGGCAAGGCTGTTGATATTAACCTGCAGGAGCTGAAGTACTCTTAACCTTGGGAATTATGGCAGTGAAGTGTCATGAAGCCACGTAATGTAGCGAAATTCCAAGAATGCTTATGTTGATTTTCGCGTCACTTCTTTCTCGTGGTGGCTAGCTGGGAGCACAAAGTGCCGCGGCTCTTGTAAAGCCAGTCGTGCTGGGCCAGGGGCCATCCTAGAGGCAGAGAGGTCAGAGCTGAGCACCTGAGGGAAAAGGCATCATGAAGCCATGTAGATTTTGTAGTATGTTCCCGTAAAAACCCCTGAACACTCTTGAGCAGGTAGCGGCACTATCTCTCAGCTGGATGGCCTGGGCGCACCGAAGCGCCGAATCTGAGGTCAACACCTTGGAGGTGGAAAGCGAAGAAACTTGTCCGAAGCTTTACTGATTCAGGCGTGATTGGGAATTCCTGCAGATGGCACCCTTATTTGCTCGAACCCGAGTAAAACCACGGTTAAATTTGGAGTGTTAACGTGTTCCTGGAAAGTTACAGCTTTGCGTTTACACCTCGCATGTTAGGCATGTCCGGGCTGTAAGTAGGATGGGCGCAGACGTAAATTCAGTTGTGTATGGCTCCAGCTAGCCTGGCTATGTGCCGCAGACGTGCCGCAATATCTGCAGAGAGCCTAATCTTCCATGTCTCAGTTCTGCGCATCAGACTGCTTCCCCATCGCTTCGACTGAACGTTGGCGCAAGTGCCAAAACTTCCTTGCCAACTACTGCCTGTCTTCACCGAGGGGCAGGATGGGACTGAGGTAAGTTCACGGGGACCAAGGGAAGCATTGACAATTGAAATATAGTCTTCGTTCGCGGCCACCCCAGAAGCTGATCACAGAAGCCTGAGGCATTTCGCTATACGCGACCGTTATTTTCAAGGAGTATACCAAGAACTGTGAATGCTTTTACAGCTGTTCGTTTCAATGCCCAGACACTAGTGTGCGAATCTCGCCTGAAGTGGTTAGGACATACCGTCTACCAGCTGGGGTGAAGGAGGAGGGTCTGGGGCCCTCAGGATTTGGAGGGGTTGGAAATTTCTCATGGCGCCACGTCGGCTTCTTGATCTCAGCATAGAGTCGAATCTCGTGTTTGAAGGACTTGTGTGTGCGAATTCTAAGGATATGGATGTGAACTGCAAGAGTGCCACTTTGTGTCTGGGTCTGTTTGATTCTTTTGCAGGCACGCTCGCATCGCAATCTGTGCCATTGGAGTCAGCACTTAAACCTGGACCCTCGACATAGCTAGAATTCACGCACACCAAGTCTTGTCAGTTTGCACGGCATCCCTTCATGTTTCTCTTCCCAGTTGAATTGCATCTTTGAGTAATCACAATTGTAGCGTGTTCAGTACATGCTTGCAGTCAACCTGCACATGAAGGGACCTCAACATAAGACTGAAGGGACCTCAACATAAGACCACGTACAGTAAACAATGACAGGTCTGCACCCTTCAGCCTAAAGACTACAGTGACTACACATGCTGCCAAACAGAACACCTGCCATGATGATGAGCATGAGGGTCACTAGTACTCTTCTGCTATTGCTATGACAGTTGTTGCTGCTATTTTGCTGCTGCCGCTGCTTCCACAATTTCTACCAGTGCAATTTAGCATGTTGGGCATCTAGGTTGCAATTACTACGCCTTGGACCTGCAACCTAGGCATAATGGAGGCGTTGGGGCAAGGGATGGACCCCTGGGTTCCAGGTTTTACGTTCCTCGGCTGCAGAATGCTCTCCCTGAGGAAACCAAGGTCCCCGAAAAGACTTTACAAGATATGGTTGCAAACCTCGTCACAGCACGTCAGAGTAGTGGCATAACGTATTCCTTCTTCTGCATCTACGCAGAGCTGTATTGTTATGGTGCTGTACAGTTGCAAAGAGCGCTGGGCTTGATTGCATCCATAGAAGTTGTCCTGACAGAGATTTCGAAGCAGCATTAGGCCAAAACTCCCCCAAACAAAACATGGTGTGCTAGCCAGGATGCCCAAAATTCTGGCCCATTCAGCTGAGAAGCCTTGGATGTAGCTACGACAAGTCCGAAGCACGTGCCAAGACCTGTCGGGGCCTGGAGTATGACAACTGCAAAGGCTATGTGACGTACTGGCAGAGTGAGGACTGTGTTCACGGATAAGGTCTAGAAGTTCGGGGTTCAGGCTTAGGGATGGAAATTCAAGTGCTGCATTGATTACTGCGACCCTGCAAAGCTGGAAATGAATGCTTTCTTGCAATTGTTTGAGGTTCCGATAGAACAAAACGCAGAACTACATTACAGTCGAGTCATGCGACTGCAGCTCGTCGTTTTCTTCTCTAGTGCACAAGCCCTCGCGAGGACGCTTATGTTCTCTGCCAGCCCTACATCATTTCCCTGAGAGGCGGGCAACCACCGCAACGATGAAGCACTCGTACCTCTGAACCCTCAAGTTGACTGCTGAAACGCTGTATTCAGCACATTGCAAAGCAGTTCCCTAGTACGATGGCCGTTTCCCCGGCATCCGTAAACTTACAAAGTCGTTTGGTAGGTTGATTCTGCTTCAGGACGCCATCTGTCCAACTGAAACTTGCAAATAGCATGGCCTTTGCACCCAAATCATTCTGCACCTTTTTGAGGCCAACATACTTCACAAACTCTCCTGTTCTTCCAAAACCTGCTTCCATTGCCAGTGCGAGGTGGGCGCAAAACTGTCCCCATCTGTGCAGTCGAGACGAAAGACGCCTCCCCTGCGCTCAAGCGCAGCCAGTGCAGTCCGAAGGACAATCCCAAGACGCTGGCTCGAAATGTTGTATTTCTCAAAAATAGGATCCTTCTCCATTCACCCCCAAGTTCTTGAAGGGGATTCTTGTCTTCAGAAACCTGCTATTCTTCGATGTTGGGGGCATAGACGTGCCTGAACTCCAGCGCATCAACTCGTAAGCTTTCAGGCATGCGCCCTCGAATGTACCATATGGTGATGGAATCATAGAAGCAGTAGTTGCAGTCAAAAAGTGTAGAGATTTCGGCGAAATTGTTCGAAATTAACTCGCACTTTCTCCTAGTTTACCTTTTCCGTTGTGTGCGGGATCCTCAATCTTCAATCTGCAGTGTATTACGTTGACCAGCCGTTCAAGAGACCCGCCGTTGTGAGCGTTTAGCTTTCTGGTGTTAAGGACCTGGAAGGACAAGGTTTAAGCCGGATAGCGCACAAGCCGGAATAATGAGAAAACATTGCGTCTTCATCATCCTTTCTCATTTGCGGCATGAAGCCAAGTTTAGTCATTCACGCACCTACCCTGGTGGGGCGCAGCGTTTCTCTTGAAGGAGTTTGAGATCAAACCTAGGATTGCCGCTTTCATTCTGAAGTACAAGGACCAGGCCGTAGAGGACGCGCTTGGCGGGTCGGTGGGCGGGGCTGTTTGTTTGCATGACGATGGTTGCTCACTTGTTGGCAGGTTGTAGCGGAAGCAGTAAAACTATACAGTCTGGGCTTTGTGGCCTGCCTGCAGTCCGGGGTGGAAGTGCCTTGGGATGTGGCCACTCAATCCCCATGTATTAAACGGCGCAGCTAAAAGGCCAGACCCTAAACCGCTAAGAATCAAAACTCCACGGACCAATGCCCAAGCGCAAATCTCATATCCTAATCTCCCAAGAACCCTTGCCGCTAAGGCACTCCAACTGAGAACGCCCTAAATGTTGCGACCAATATCCATGTCTTCCCAAAAACCCCCTCGGGCCTGTGTATCTATGTGCTGTACAACATGACTCCCCTGGCATCCCCTCGCCAAATCTGTAATCAAAGTGGGAAGATATTCCTGCAGTTGCATTTAGTAAAGTCATCAGCTAGCCTTTTTCATTTCTGTTAAATGACTCATGTGTTTCACGTCCGTATGAGGAGACGTTGGCACATGTGTCATCGGCAGATGATATTGTCAAGTCGTTTGCAGAACAGTCCGCAGGTAAGTCTATCACGGGTATCAGATCTTCTTGTGGTGAGTTTCACAACCCGTCATCATGTCGGATGACAATTGCTGCATCAAGTTCTGTTTGCATGGCGCACCCCTTGACCTCGATCTCTGCTGCAGCCCACAAGAGGACTGCAAGACGCAGCTGTGCTCCATGGCCAAGACTGGAACCTGGCAGTCGATGTTCAGCAAGAAGGCCATTGACAAGCCTTGGCCAAGGTGACTACGGCTGAAACACTACAGGAGGCATAGGTTCTTAAAAGGGCTTCGGCGATCGAGAGGCCTATGCCCAAACGATTCAGGCCGAAATATTTAAAGAACAGGTAGCTGGCTTACGAAAAACAGCAAGGGTAGCAACGGCAGCGCGCTGGCAGCAGCCATGAACTCTTCCATTTTCTCTGTGGCCAGGGCCATGAGCATCATTGCTGATGTTGTGCTTTTGCAGTTACATGTCCCCTAGAGCAAGCCCCCTACTGAGCCCTTCAGACCTTACGCTGAAGCGGTTGATAGGCTTAAGCACTTTTGCTAAGGTATGTCGCTTCACCTGGGACCTGGGGATGGGAGCGTGCAGCAGAGGCGATGCTATTGCTACTGGTTTGTGGGGAGGGAGGGCACAACCTGGAGGGTAGGGTTATGGAATGTAGTATTGTGCTTCATGTTCAGGGATTCCGGCTTCGGGTGCTGGGCTCGTCTAGGGGAAGGAAGGGAGGGAGATTTTTCGGTTTGTCTCATTGAGTTGCGGCTATTTCTGTTCCCCTACACCTACCGCCGCTACCGCCACCACCGCCGCCGCCATGATTGCTATTACTCCTAAAGGTACCAATGCTGAAGCGTAAGCACGTCTGCGATGAAGGTAAAAAATGCTACGACGCATGTGTCCAGTTTTGTTTCTTCCACAATGCAAAGCCCCCAGAGGAGAAGTGCACCCTGCATCACGCCGGGTATCGCTTCATCGATCCCAAGAAGTGACTTGGCTTTTTTCGTGATCTGTGAAACAGGGCAGATGAGGGTTGAGGTTCAGAAAGGTGTTGCTGTCCAGCATGCATGGTTTTGAGATTCATGTTGTGGTGTTTATGACCCAGGGGTTTCGAGGTAGAGGATTTTGAGATTTCCGAGGTTCATGTTCATCCGCCTCTCCAAAGCCGTCCGAACTTGTTTGGCGATACAGACAAACAACATATCAGATAGCCAGCAAGGAGCCCTTGAGATGAGCATGGCAAAAAGCAGGGATACTACCAAGACTGAGCTATTGCTAGGGCTATCCTACTTCTAGACCATGACCACTAATGAAGCACAGGGTGATTCCCGTCCAGCGGATACCCTCCACAAATTCTGATCCTTCCTTTGGGGGCTTCCCCATGAATGGACCATTTTGAAACACTTCCGCTTTTGGAATCCTGCTGATAAGCAATGCTAAGCTTCAAACCCTGAACCCTAAGATACTGCTGGCAATCCGCAAGGCTCTTCGACGACCTTGTTGAGGGCGAGCACTTCAACAAAAAGGCCGCCATGGGATTGTGTTTACTTTTGGGTTTAAAGTAAAACCTGACTGGGATCTGGGTTCGTCAGTAAACCCTTTTCCCCTCTTTGGCGGTTCGCAGGTTCCCTGCAATTAGTTGCCCTTCTGATCCCATCATATTCGGGATTTCGGATCCTGGGGTTTCGTTGTTAAGCTATCTTACCCAAGGAAGTGGGATAAATTGTCGAGGCACCTTGCTATCCTCCCCATTCCTCATGAGCACCGAACCCTAAATCCTCTCACCTCATAGGTGTACATCTGGCCACAAGGGTCCGAAGAGACCATGCTTAGGTCTGCGGCTGCAAGACGAAAGACGAGTGCTCCTGAGACGCTGGCTTAGGAAACCTGAGGGGCGGCGGTGGGTTTGGATCTACTCCGCCCCAATTGAATCCTGCAGGGCCTAAAAGCATTCATGCAGAAAAAAGGTCCACCCTCCTGTATGCGTTTATGCGTTGGTAGGAAGGGATCGTGGTCCCAATTATGTTGAGGTACCCGTCCTGCTTTTCAATGTCGGCATGTTGCTTCCATAGGCAGGACAGCTTGCGGAAAGCGCTGCTAGCACATGCAACTGCGAGCTTTATTGCCTCTGAGCAACATGACGAAGGTACCAAGACGTACTGACAATGAACGATCTCTGTAAGTCTACAAATCCAGAAGGGTTTTCTTCTGAGACAAGGGCCCCATTGCGTACTCCTAAGCTTACAAGATGGATAAGAAAAAGTTCGTGCTGAAGTCCCCATCTGCATCGAGAAGAGTTACAAGGGTATTTGAGACTCTTCTGCAGGGTTCTCTTCCAGAAGGCTGGCGGGGATTTGACGAGCTGGCATAAGCTGTCCACAGACATAATTTTAACGAGCTCCCATACCCCCCGGGCGGCAATCCAGAGAACAAAACGTGACAATACCTTGCGGGCAGCATTTCTTTCTGTGGAGGTCTGAAATTCGGGGGCCCGAAGTGAACAATCTTAAAGCATGCAGCAACATGACATCGCAGTACTGCAACATGAATAGTGGATGGTCATCATTTCGATAGCGATATGCCCTGACGCAGAGAACAATCATACTTGTGAGTCGGGTACATGTGGCGGAACATGGATGACTCAGTTGTTGCCTGGGCCTTGCTTTCAAGGGATTGAGGTGGGTATTTGCTGAAATGTGGTTTCCCATGTAAATTAAAAAAGAAGGTCATCGGTGGAATGGAAATCCAGATGCTGGCAAGAATGGCCAGAGCGCCTTACGGCCTTAGGCTTTAGCTCCAGCATGACGAGCTGCTCAGCGAGTTGGTTCAAGCCAAGTGCAGCCAGTCATCTCCTCGTGGAGTAGGTGGATGAAGTTTCTGAGGTGAGAGGAAGTTTGCAGCGCCCATGGGGACGGGTGCTTCCGTTTCAGCTCCGACCTCTTTTCCCGAGACTCCTGCCAAGTCACCAGAGGAGTATGTCAAGGACAGGCTGGTTCGCTACAGCTTGCGTCATCGGATTTGGTGTCCACAGTTTGCACTTAGTTGTGTGGGCTTCTGGATTGTTCACAGCTTGGAGGTTCCCAGTAAACATCACGGGACAAGGCTTTGAGCATGATTTTCTAGGAGCGGTATTGGGCCCGCACTGCTGTCTGAGAGGACAATCTTGAGAAGCGTCTGACCTGGACCCTGCTCAATGCTTCCCTTTGCAGAGCCAACGGCAGGAGCACCACCAGTCTTACGAAGCCTTCACCAACGCCCAGTGGACAAAGGTATATCAATACACAGCTTCGCAGACTTCTGCGGGTGCGCTTGCTGCGCTTGGGGAGGGAAATTACCAGAATCTCTGGCTTTTTGAACCTGGAAGTAAATTCCCGGGGCTTCAAATACACAAGGACATGTCGGAGCACGTCTAGGGTCTTGTTAGAAAGGGCCTTCTGGGAACTAGCCGAACACTAGAACCAGAGCATGATCCAGCTTCTCAGCTCTTGAGGGCAGCTGTTGGCCTGACTTTGAACATTCCGTTTGCCTGCACTGTGGACTGCAAAGCACCAGCCGTACCAGCACCACCATCACCATGACTGCCACTGATACCACTTAGTATTGCTGCTGCTATGCTAAGGAACTGTGTCCGATTTGCCGTCGGCGCCATTGGCAAAACGCAAGTGAGCCCCAATGACGTCGAAGAGGCCGTTGCCGTTCTCTGCCGGAGTCCGGGCAGATTGTTAGCTACTATGAGTTTGCGTTCTAGGGTTTAGGCTCTTAGCGCCTGCAGGATGTATATCAGATGCATAGCGTGGAAAGGAAGGACTGAAGTAGAAGCTTGTGCTTCAGCATTCCTGGTACGTTGGCCCCATTGAGGGACTTAGGGCTTGACCTTCTGGGATCAAGGGAAATTGAACGATGTATGCAACCCCTAATCAAACTCTGCACCCGAAAATGTGAAGCCTAAGCTGAAAAACAAACATTCCCCAGCGGCTAGATCCAGATCCCCATTTGGGGTGTCGGATGTGCGTTCTATGGAGGTGCACGGCAGGCTGCGGCTGATCTCTCTTAGAGAGATATGGCTCGTTCCTGTTGAATGCTGCTTGCTTGTGGGACCAGGCGTTGCGTGAACCATGGTGAAAGTGCAAGCAGGTATTTATACGCAAGGCCATATCAGGGACACAGCGCTGAGATTCAGGCCATCACCCCCCAAATCACAGCACGCCCCCACGGATCCTCATAGTCGCCGCTTGAAAATCCACAATTTCCTTCGCCGTATTCCCCAACTCAAGAACCAGAGAGAAGCCGCAAGGAGCGTGGAAGTGGCCAAATGGCCTGCAGCAAAGGCAGCGAGTTTGGTCCTGGACCATCCAAAGCGGACCAAGGTTGCATGGCCTCTGTTCTAGGCACTGGGTTTGCTAGGGTTAGGTCCCTTGGGATCCAAGGGGTTTAAGGGTATGAGTCATTCGGGTTTAAGGGTTACAGCCCAGATCAAGAAGAACCTGTACTTAGCCTTCTGGAGGAGAAGGTCCAGCAGTAGCAGGAAAGAGTAGCTACGTTGGCAAATGCTAAACACGCTTCACTTCCGGGAAGCCCTTTATGAGAGGATTCTCGGGCGGATCCACGGATTGGTTCGTGTTGCACGTTTTCCCAAATTGAACTACTGAGCTGGAGTTTCTCAAAGCTGTGGGTCTTTATTGGGCTGGTCCATCGACTGAAAATTGTAGTATCTCGGGAGGATTCAGGATGGCATTTGGGGAAGACCAATCCAAGTTGTGCAGCTTATCTGAGTTGAGTTTGAATTAGAGTGGTTTGGGCACCCGGATTGCTGGGTCTTGCTAGTGCGGGGTAGGCTCGCTTCTCATGTGGATGAAGCATGCTTAGGAAAATCTTATTCGGCCTTGTAACGCGTTGCATATAACTGGGGGCTTTTACCATGTCTATGAGTGGTAGAACCCTGCATTGGTCCGTGTAGCGGTTTCCCTCTGGAGGACGTTGCAGCTCATTAGGGACGTGTCTGCAAATTCGAAGTTCGGGCTCACAAACGAAGATGTACATATAAGCCTGCTCCCAGTCATTCAGAAAACCTGAAAAGGCAGGCTTCAGTGCGTAGACCGGCCCTGACAAGTGTGTTTGTCATGAGCAGAAGCCAAAGGAGACCGTCCCATGTTCTGGGATTTTCCATTTTGTTCTTGACCTCCAAGGTTCTGGAAGCATTCGTGCTCCTGGGTTCATCTTAGCTTTTTTCGGTTTATTAGGATGGTTAAGACTTCCACAAAGCAGTCGCTAACTGCTAACCTGAAAACCATGTTAGCTACACTCTAAGCTCCCTTCGAAGCCCTGCACTTAGAAAGATTTGGATACGATGTATGCTGAGGCCATATACGGGAGAACAACATGCCACTACACAAGCCTCAGCAGCATGTCTAGAGCGTTCCTCGTATGAGCTACTGCCAGCTTATTCAGGGACCCTTAACTGTGGACATAGGAGCCCCTCTTGTAGTTCAGTATGGTCCCGAATATAGTCCCTAATAAGGAACCCATGCCCATTACTGGCAAATGTTGGTTGTAGCTGATAATATCCCAACAGGCGTTATCCATGGGGGCATTACAGAATTGCTCACCCGGAGAGCGAAGCCAGAATAGATGGCCTCATGAAGCTCCCACTATTGTTCGTCACATGGCCACCCAACCCCATCTAAAGAGACCACCAACCAGGCTAGCCATGCACGTTATCATACCAAGCGGTTGAAGGGGATAATTTTCAGGCTTCTACACATCTTTTGCATGGGAGGGGTTCCGGCCCCTGCTTCCACCCCAGCATCGCGACCCAGGCAGGCGGTGTGCCCAGAGTTTGTCAGCAAAACTGCTGAGGCGGAGAACTATAAGTACGGAGATTTTGCGGATGTCTTGGGTTCTTCCGAGGATGTAGGATTACGACTTAATCAAGGGAAAGTGAACTGCTTCTCAAAGTTTCCGAAGCTTGGCGCTACCGCTTAGCCTGTGGCTGGAAGCCATTTCCATGAGACGTATGGCGCATGAAGAATGCCAATATGCAGTAGTGATGGCGTCGCGACATGCCGCTCCATTGCAGGTGCCCAGATGATGCATGGGCCTTGAAAGCACAAAAAAGCCTTGACTTACATCTTGCTCTGCCACTTGTACACCCTGGCAACTATCCCAACTCGTAGGGGGTCTAAGAACTCAAACCCGCAAAGCTACCCCTGATGTTTCCATGGGGCAAGGCAAGGGAAAGGTTTACGGGATATCTTCGTGAGTGATCGGTTGTAATCTAAAGGGGTGACTGCGGGCACTGGAGAGGAACAGGCGGACCAGTTGATCGGAGCCATCGATGACGATTCCAAATCTTTTGGTACTGTGGTCCTGTCCGTTGTCAGAGCTTGCCTTGCAGACGGTGCTTTGCTGAAGTTGCAGTAGCAGTAGTGTGCGTAGTAGGAGAAACCATAAATAAGTGTAGTGTAAAAATAATTGTAACCCCCATACAAAGTGTTCGTAGGAGCACAAGCGGCGGCAGCAGTAGTCGTCCTCCTAGCAGCAGTTTTTGTAGTGGTAGCAGTAGTAGTAGTAGTAGTAGTCGTCGTCGTCGTCGTCGTCGTCGTCGTCGTAGTCGTCGTCATAGTCCTTGAAGTAGTGGTAGCAGAGGGAGCAGCAGAAATAATAGTAGGAGTAGCATCAGCAGTCATACAGTCGCAGAGGTGGTGGTGGTGGTGGTCCTGGTCGTGGTCGTGGTCGTGGTCGTGGTCGTGGTCGTGGTCGTCGTGGTCGTGGTCGTGGTCGTCGTGGTCGTCGTGGTCGTGGTCGTCGTGGTCGTCGTCGTCGTGGTGGTCGTCGT